GTCAGGCTATGAGTATACTTCTGGTGATGTCAAGCAATGTCAGGCTATGAGTACACTTCTGGTGATGTCAAGCAATGTCAGGCTATAAGTACACTTCTGGTGATGTCAAGCAATGTCAGGCTATGAGTACACTGCTGGTGATGTCAAGCAATGTCAGGCTATGAGTACACTTCTGGTGATGTCAAGCAATGTCAGGCTATGAATACACTTCTAGTGATGTCAAGCAATGTCAGGTTATGAGTACACTTCTGGTGATGTCAAGCAATGTCAGGCTATGAGTACACTTCTGGTGATGTCAAGCAATGTCAGGTTATGAGTACACTGCTGGTGATGTCAAGCAATGTCAGGCTATGAGTACACTTCTGGTGATGTCAAGCAATGTCAGGCTATAAGTACACTTCTGGTGATGTCAAGCAATGTCAGGCTATGAGTACACTTCTGGTGATGTCAAGCAATGTCAGGCTATGAGTACACTTCTGGTGATGTCAAGCAATGTCAGGCTATGAGTACACTGCTGATGATGTCAAGCAATGTCAGGCTATGAGTACACTTCTAGTGATGTCACGCAATGTCAGGCTATGAGTACACTGCTGGTGATGTCAGGCAATGTCAGGCTATGAGTACACGTCTGGTGATGTCAAGCAATGTCAGGCTATGAGTACACTTCTAGTGATGTCAAGCAATGTCAAGCTATGAGTACACTTCTGGTGATGTCAAGCAATGTCAGGCTATGAGTACACGTCTGGTGATGTCAAGCAATGTCAGGCTATGAGTTCACTTCTGGTGATGTCAAGCAATGTCAGGCTATGAGTACACTGCTGGTGATGTCAAGCAATGTCAGGCTATGAGTACACTTCTGGTGATGTCAAGCAATGTCAGGCTATGAGTACACGTCTGGTGATGTCAAGCAATGTCAGGCTATGAGTTCACTTCTAGTGATGTCAAGCAATGTCAAGCTATGAGTACACTTCTGGTGATGTCAAGCAATGTCAGGCTATGAGTACACGTCTGGTGATGTCAAGCAATGTCAGGTTATGAGTACACTTCTGGTGATGTCAAGCAATATCAGGCTATGAGTACAATTCTTGTTATCAATGTCAGGCTATGAGTACACTGCTGGTGATGTCAAGCAATGTTAGGTTATGAGTACACTTCTGGTGATGTCAAGCAATGTCAGGTTATGAGTACACTTCTGGTGATGTCAAGCAATGTCAGGCTATGAGTACACTTCTGGTGATGTCAAGCAATGTCAGACTATGAGTACACTTCTAGTGATGTCAAGCAATGTCAGGTTATGAGTACACTGCTGGTGATGTCAAGCAATGTCAGGTTATGAGTACAATTCTTGTTATCAATGTCAGGCTATGAGTACACTGCTGGTGATGTCAAGCAATGTTAGGTTATGAGTACACTTCTGGTGATGTCAAGCAATGTCAGGTTATGAGTACACTTCTGGTGATGTCAAGCAATGTCAGGCTATGAGTACACTTCTGGTGATGTCAAGCAATGTCAGTCTATGAGTACACTGATTGTGATGTCAAGCAATGTCAGGTTATGAGTACACTGCTGGTGATGTCAAGCAATGTCAGGCTATGAGTACACTTCTAGTGATGTCAAGCAATGTCAGGCTATGAGTACACTTCTGGTGATGTCAAGCAATGTCAGGCTATGAGTACACTGTTTGTGATGTCAAGCAATGTCAGACTATGAGTACACTTCTAGTGATGTCAAACAATGTCAGGCTATGAGTACACTTCTGGTGATGTCAAGCAAAGTCAGGTTATGAGTACACTTCTGGTGATGTCAAGCAATGTCAGGCTATAAGTACACTTCTGGTGATGTCAAGCAATGTCAGACTATGAGTACACTTCTAGTGATGTCAAGCAATGTCAGGCTATAAGTACACTTCTGGTGATGTCAAGCAATGTCAGGCTATGAGTACACTTCTGGTGATGTCAAGCAATGTCAGGTTATGAGTACACTGCTGGTGATGTCAAGCAATGTCAGGCTATGAGTACACATCTGGTGATGTCAAGCGATGTCAGGCTATGAGTATGCTTCTAGTGATGTCAAACAATGTCAGGCTATGAGTACACTTCTGGTGATGTCAAGCAATGTCACGTTCTGAGTACACTTCTGGTGATGTCAAGCAATGTCAGGCTATGAGTACACTTCTGGTGATGTCAAGCAATGTCAGGCTATGAGTACACTTCTGGTGATGTCAAGCAATGTCAGGTTATGGTGCAGGTTTTTTATGAGTAGAATTTACTTCAATTTTAGATGTATGGGTTTTCAGCAGTTTTTGGTTGAAGTTCAAGGTTCTTTAATCCGAGGTGCTTATAACATTGAGGTAGCTTTTATAACTTGCTGAGGTAACTAAAGGCATTGACCTTTCCCTTTCAAAGCTGTCCTGCATTGGGCATGTGTTTCCTCAAACCAGATATTATATAATCAATTCAGAAGGTCTTATAACATTTGTTGTTACGGAAACTAGCGGCATATGATTCTCTGTTTCTTATTTATAATGCATTGGTATGTGTTTTCTCAAACCAGATGTAAGAACTTTGCAAAAAATGTACCTTGGGTGTACACAATATTGAGAAAATGCTTTAGACCCCTTACATGGTCTAGTTGACTGAGTATCTGGCCAGAGTATAAGGTCAGAGGTTCAACCAGTGTTCATCCTACCAAGAGCCATTACCCTGCCTGATGATGGTAGGTTTGGAGTCAGTATGTCTCCATAGTAGGGTTAAACTGCAACATAGTATCTCAGTGGGCAATCTCTATAAGAACGATATTTGTCTGGTCCAGTATTCAGGCCTACCATACAAACGGTGAACAAATCATCAAAACTGAACTCATATACACCAAAACAGAACAAAAATCACCAAAACTGCAACAATATCCTCAAACCAAAACAATACATCTGTAATGGAAGACTAATCGTTTGAAATGGAAACAAAACGCGCGTATCAGCTACAAGAGCACGTGAGAACAGTCGCTGAGCGTACAAAACGGCATTCATAGCATCCCAACACGGCAGTCATAGAATCCCGAAATGGCATACAAATCGTCAAAGATGGCAGCAAGGGGAGACGAATAGGCTTGGTACATAATTGTTTTTCGTCACTATGAGTCTAATCTTGAAAATTTGATATCGGGATGTAGTGCATAAACCCCCTATTGTAGTAAGCTTCAAACCTATGTCCATACTTCTCAGTGTCAGGCTTGCAATTCTACACAATGTGGTCCCTCGTTCGACCGAATAGGATTTCTTGTCAACATGCCGTGCTACAGTTTGTCTTCAGTTTTGTAAATAAAGTATTCATAGCATCACATTCAACATTACTATATTTTAGTGATTTAAAAAAGTTACAAAAACTTTGTTCATTCTCTGTGAATTGCATATCTAAGTGATCATTTCTACTTTGACTTCCCAAACTGCCTTTTTTAAATTTCTCAAACTTGTATTCACAGATTCCTGAGAGAGACGTGTCAGTCCTCTCGTCATCTGACATATTCTTCTTAGTTTGTATGTTTGTATGCCACTGCTTCACACGGCACGTATGGTCATGTTCTCAGATGAATATCTTCTAGTTTCATCTTACTTTTATGAAGTCATTCAGTGAATATATTTCTTTCAGATATCTCTGTGATACCGAACCTTCCGAAAATTCCAACGTTTGAGTGTATGCCATATAAAGAGAAGTTCAAAAATCGGGTAGCATTGCGTTCTCATCAGAGAAGGAAACATGAACTTGCCTATAATTTCAACTGTGAATTGTGTGTCAGGAAGATTTTATCATTCTGCAATTTTATCTTTTCTATGTACTTCAAAGTATTCCATGCAATCCCAAACATTTTATATCATTTAACAAAAAATAAAGCTTAACTTGAGGTACAAACATGTGTCCGTCTTTGTTATTGTACGTCTCAAGAAGTCGCTTCCTGTGGACTTGAAACAGAAATCCCTGCCCTAATCAGTGGATTGAATTTGCACTCGTACACTTTAAAAATGATAACTTATATATTCAATTCACGGAAAATGAACAAAGTTTTTGTAAACTTTTTAAATCACTAAAATATAGTAATGTTGAATGTGACGCTATGAACACTTTAGGGACACCTGCAGTTTACGGGTCGTCAGACCCGGAAGTAGAAATGTATTCTTTATAGCTCGCGCTTTGCGAGAGCACGCCGGCCGGTATTTGCTGCCTTCGGCAGTAAGTGACGCGCGCCGGCGCTGCGTCTTATATATAGAGAAGCACGCGAGCCGGGCTGATCTCCGCTAGGGAGACATTTTAGACGAAATTGGAGGTCATTTTCGTGTTTACTGGCAAAAGTTTAATTTAAAACTTCGTCTGAAAGATCTATAGTTTTAAACACGAATTTTAGTAATGCTCCAAAACATCAATCCAATCGTTAGTAATCAAGGGGAAATCCCGATGGACGCCTTTTATCTGATTGGTCAATTGTGGACGCACGTGTCGAATGTTCCAAATAAGGTAGTGGGTTACTACAACTGCCACAACTTTAACGCGCACAGTTGGTGAGTTGTAATTTGCTTGTCGCTTGATTTCAATATTGTTTATTTGACTTGCTTAGCTATGGCTGTAAGGAGAATGGTGTATGATGATTTGTATGAGTTGTGTAGAGATGAGAGAAAGTTGATGGATTTGTTGGAAGCGTTTGGTTTGATTGGAAATTTCAGTTGGAAGTGTGTGAAGTGTGACAGTGGGAGTATAGGAAAGCGCAAGGATTCGAGTCGGAGTGAGGGTTATGTGTGGCGTTGTTCAAATAAAAAATGCAATCATAAAATTGTAGCAAGGCGTGATTCTTGGTTTTTTAAGTCTCATTTGTCCGTTAGTGAAATTATGAAATTGACATTTTATTGGGTTTATCAAGTGAGAGAGAATTTTGTGAGAGTGCAGTTGCGTCTGGGGTCTGATCACACTTTGGTTGACTGGTTTAATTATTGCAGAGATGTGTGTTTGTTTGTGATGGAAGAGGAGAATGAGATGATAGGTGGGCCAGGGATTGAAGTTGAGATTGATGAGAGTAAGTTTGGGAAGCGTAAGTTTCACCGAGGAAGGCGAGTGGATGGTGTGTGGGTGTTTGGGGGTATCGAGAAAGAAAGTAACAGGATGTTTTTGGAAGTTGTGGAGAAGCGTGATGCAGATACCCTTTTGAGTGTGCTGAGAAAGTGGGTGCGACCGGGTTCGATAATTCATTCTGATTGTTGGAAGGCGTATGCTAGGCTGAATGAGATGGGATACGAGCATGTGACAGTGAATCATAGTAAGGAATTTGTGAATGCAGAGAATGGTGCGTGCACTAATAAAATTGAGAGTAATGTGGAGAGCGTGTGAAAGCGTCCCTGCCCAGGTATGGAACTACGAAAGGATTGTATGATAGTTATTTTGTGGAGTACATTGTGAGGAAGAAATATTTACGTTGTTCTGATGATCGTTTCGTTACATTTCTTACTTTTATCCGCCGTGTATTTGACCCCCCCAAAAACCATCAATATTTTAAAATAGTTGAAACTGAAAATAAAGAAAATGCCATCCAAAATGAAAACACAGATGATGAATTTAATTCAAGTGCGGATTTGTTCTTGTGAGGTAAGTCAATTCAATTCAGGCGCAGATTTGTTCTTGTAATATAAGGTAAGTGAAGAGTTTCGATATTTGTTTTCTTGCTGTGCTACACATCATGTAAACTTACCTGTTTTGTTTATTGTAAATGAAAATGGAAAAAGAAGGATACATTGAAGCATCTAAGGGCTAAAATGTTTCATTTCAACGAAACAATACATTAACGGGGTATTTTTATGTCAGCGTCTTCTTAAAATATGAATAAACATTGCAATTGACAAACCCAGAAAAAAATACAAACCCTGAAACATTGTTGAGGAACGAAGGGCTAGAGAAGATTATCGATTAGTATCCAAGGGTAATTTAATGGGCCCAAACAAGGGCAAAACAGCGATGTTGTTATTCGCTGGAGCAAACAAAAAATGGCGTCAGCGTTAGTGCTCGCTTCGATGTAAATATGGCTTCTGCGCATGTCTGTAGCGAAACTTCTGGGGACCCGTAAAGTGCAGTTTACCCAACACTTTATTTACAAAACTGAAGAGAAACAGGACCACGGCATGTTGACAAGAAATCCTATTCGGTCGAACGAGGGACCACATTGTGTAGAATTGCAAGCCTGACACTGAGAAGTATGGACATAGGTTTGAAGCTTACTACAATAGGGGGTTTATGCACTACATCCCGATATCAAATTTTCAAGATTAGACTCATAGTGACGAAAAACAATTATGTACCAAGCCTATTCGTCTCCCCTTGCTGCCATCTTTGACGATTTGTATGCCATTTCGGGATTCTATGACTGCCGTGTTGGGATGCTATGAATGCCGTTTTGTACGCTCGGCGACTGTTCTCGCGTGCTCTTGTAGCTGATACTCGCATTTTGTTTCCATTTCAAACGATTAGTCTTCCATTACAGATGTATTGTTTCGGTTTTAGAGGATATTGTTGCAGTTTTGGTGATTTTTGTTCTGTTTTGGTGTATATGAGTTCAGTTTTGATGATTTGTTCACCGTTTGTATGGTAGGCCTGGTATTAGCAGGGTCAGACATATGTATATGTTGGATACATTTCTGGTTTGCTCTTTACATTGTTTCCCTTTCTGTTTCAGATGCCCTTTCTGTAAGACAGATGAGCTGTTTAATGCATATGAGGCAAAGATCTTCTCCTTTAGAGAAAGGTATGTTATGTGTAGGATAGAAAATGAATCTGAGGTTATGCTTGGGATTGCTAGCTAGAGACATTTTGCTAGAGAATGCATATTGACCTCAAGGATGTCATGATCACCTGCATGTTATTCTTCGATTTGGACAAGTGGCAGCATACCTGCCAACTAATATTGCATGGATTAATTTTTGTCTCCTCTCCAGCAAATGAGACAGATGTATCATAAATTTGCTCAGAAATAAGAAGTGACGTATGGAAAATGCACCAAAAGTACAGGCAGGTGAAGCGTGAAGGTTGCAGTTCAGTATTCTAACTCTGTTTTTGTGGAGATAGAAAGAATTGGATGTGTCTAGAGATGTTGAAGGTAGAAAGAATTGGATATGTCTAAAGATGTTGAAGGTAGAAAGAATTGGATATTTCTAAAGACTTGGATATGTCTAAAGATGACCAAGATATTTTATGGATTTAAGCTTCTATATTTTTCCCCACACAACGTTTTGGGATCATCACAGATCCATTCATCAGTGACAGTGACAGTTGACACCATGACGTCGACACAATGCATGTGACATCACAATCCACAGTTATGACGTCATAGTGTCACCATCATAGTGTCAACTGTCACTTCACCTGGCGTGTGATGGTGTGTGGTCCTGTGCATAGAGCTCAGGTCACAAATCAGTTGAGGTTAAGCAACGTTGAGCATGGGCAGTCCTTGGATGGGTGACAGTGTTTGGCAGCTTGACTCCTGAGAGTTTCTAGGACTTCGGTCCTGCCCCACAACCAAGCTCATGTGATGCATGTGGTCTTACCTTAGGCAAGTGAGTGTGTTCAAAATTGCCTCTGTTCACCCAGCAGAAAGTGGGTACCCGGTGGGACAAGTCATGTGACTAATAACCTTGTAGCGCCTCACAGGCAGCTTGGGTTATGCAGGGTAATAATGTGTTAGCGCTTTGAGCATGCACAAGTGTGTGGAAAAGGCGCATTATAAATGGCCATTATTATTACTTATGACCTGCATATAAGCATCCCAGGAGTTAGTGTTTGATGTGTGTCCCATGATGCCATCCCCGATCTCTACTCAAACTTGTAAGTCATGTGTTGAGTTCATATTAAAGGAGGACCCTCACAAAGTGTCATGGAGATGGGAACCCTTGCTTTGGAGAAACATGTTGCATGTTTTGTTCCTTTCCGTTTCCCCCTTAAACTTAAGGACACAATGTCTACCAGAGATCAGTCTAATGCCAACACCAGGACCAAAGTTCCTATTGTTTACAGAATATAACTCTAAAACTACTTGAACAATCTTCACCAAATTTGGTATACTGCCTCTCCATATCATTTATATGTGCCTTTTGGGTGTTTGAGATATTTTTCAATTTCATTTTTTTCTCGTTTCATGGCAACAATTTGGACTTTGTCTTGTTGAAGTGTAAAGTTTGTTTCCGGAGCAAAATTCTGAAACTAATAGACCCATCATCACCAAATTTGCTATACTGCCTCTCCATATCATGTAGATGTGCCATGGGGGTTTGAGCTTTTCTTTCAAGTTTATTATTTTCTGTTTCAACACTTATTGATCATATTTATGAGAGATCAGAGATACAGCATACCGGAGATTTGATGTTGTTCCATGCTACTACAGTTTCCATGATATCACCTATCTTGTTCTTGATTAGATTCCAGTGAAAAAGTTATTTCCATAACTGAATGTGATAAAATTTGATTTTGATTTCAGCATTTGTTGAAATCTTATTGACTAGAGACAACTCTGTGACTGAAAAACAACAGATTCATTCATGCATTTCGAAATAGAATCATTTAGAATTCTGAATGTTTTGTAAAATATAACTGTGGAGTTGTTGATTTGTTGATAAACAGTTAAGTTCAATTGAATGTAAAGATATTAAATGAAGACTTGACAAACATAATATCATACTATCAATAATATGTATTTTCATACTTAGAGATTTTGAAATTGAAGGAATCAAATGAATTGTTTGAGGTCTCAATTGAGGGGAAGGGGGAGTCATCTGTTTTTACGAGTAAAAACACTTTCTAGTTTGGTGAAATGAAGTATTCTACAATGTGCTTATACTAGCCAGTAAGACCCATGCTATCAAGTCACATCAAGCTATAATATCCGGTACTCAGTGATAGGAGATGATGGTTGTCATGCCTCAACAAGATATGCACTTGTTCACACATCTGAAAGTTTCTCAATATATCTAAATATCAGTAATGTACACCAATATTTCTGATGGAACTTTCTACCTCTGTTTGCTGTCCCCATTACTAATTTCAATTCTGTTTATCAGATTTGATCACATCTTACTGGATGCATCTATATGGATACAATGATTTTTTCCTTATCCTGACTCATGCTTAATTGCTTGTCTTCTTCTTCTTGCGAACTATAGACTTAAATCCCCTTTTGAAGCTCCCTTAAAAAAAGTGGACGTAAAATCACTCAACCCAGTGGCCTCCCTTGAAACCATCTTTTGGCTCGAAAAGGTCACATGATCGGCCATGCTTGTTCACTCTCTCCTTCTTCGCCCTAGTGGACGGTTGTGAGAGCACTTGGGTCCCCTATATGGCATATATCCTTTGAATTTTAGGCTGTATAAGGGCTTTATCAAGGATTTACCAGCAATATGGTTTGAAATTTATTCTAATTTTGTCCGTTTTTCACGTTGTTGACAACATGTCTCAACTTGTTTACATTTCATGAAGACTTGCATTTCTTGCAGGTTTCGATTGTCGGCTGCTGATCCGCATTTACTATGTCCTAACTGCACTTCTATATGTTCTTCCAGCCTCCGCTGTAATCTTTGTCAGCATTTATCTCAAAATGAATTTTGTAATTATTTATATTCTGTTCAAAGACGTGCCAAGGACAAATTGAGACGGCAGTTATTAGTCATGTCTCAACAGGGTGAATGCGTTAATAACCGTGGGTTGTTGTCTGTTGAGGTACATCATTCCAGTGTGCTGCCGGTGACGTCTGCTGAGCAGAGAATTGAGGGTTCCGGCCTTAGGAAAAGATCGTCTTCGACTCAACAATCCTCGTCGCAGTCTAAGAAGACCAGGACGCCATCTGCTGTGAAGACTAAGACGTCTTCAGACAAGTCTACAGTCAAGTCGTCAATGGGGGCAACGAAGATGTCGAGATCCTTCGCCGCAGATTTCAAACCATCGGACGAAGCAGACGTGTACAATGAGCAGCCGATCCTCATCCCTGAAGTACCGACGGGGAAGAAGACGAGGTTTTCTTCTACACTGTTGTCTGCAACTATATCAACGCAGTCAGACGGCCTATCTGCGCAGACTGCAACTACCAGAGAGGACAGGCAGTCCTTAGATGACACCTCAACATTATCAGATGCGGCGTCATCTGTACAGCAACAGCAGTTCTCAGCGCAGACCTTCAACCCGGGCATCTTTATGCAGCAGTTTACCCAACAGATGATGGACCTGATGGAACGTAGGTTCACTCAGGAGAAGACTGCACCGAACATCGTCTACACCTCAGCGGGATGAAGGACGCAACCTGTGTGAAGAAAACGTTCGTGAAGGGAACGCCCAGGAGGACAACAATGATCGTGACGAATCTTGCGAAGGCATTCGCAGAAGGACCACTGGTGAAGACACTCTTGGAACCAACAACCAAGAAAGAACGCCTGCTACAGACGAGGAGCATTCGCAAAGGCATCGCAGATCGTCTTCATCCTCGGACTCAGACAAGCACCAGAGGTCTACGCGTTCACCACACAGAAGAGATTATACGCCTTCACGAAGGCATACAACTTACAGAGACAGGTCACATCGCGCATATCCTCGGCAAGATCTTCATGGTTGTCACCACGCAGATACAGATCACCTAGTACATCTCCAATTAGGCATTCACGAGTGCCAACACGCAGGCCTACACATAGATCGCCACCTAGAGATCAGGACCAACAGCAACGACCTTCGGAACGAGACACATCGAAACCGGAGGATGATGGAGGAGTTATCTTCTCAGATACAGAGATCAAATCATGGATGGCTAATGGTCTGGAGCTTGCATCACCATCTAAGGAGAATAATGAAGCCTACACGTACATGATGTCTAACAACGATTGTGACACGCTAACGCTACCACCCATAGATCCGGTACTGGATGACCCAGACAACCTCAGCTCAGCCTTCAAGAAGGCAACAAAGTATCAGAGTCAAAGCATTCCACCGTTTAATGCTAAGGGATTTTCACTACACAATATGGAACCATTCATGAAGGCCCAAGAAGTAGATGAAAACTATAAACTCATCAATGACGCTCGCGTAAGGACTTATAAAGTGGAGGACAAGAAGCTAGCACAACTAGACACAACCACTAGACGTACCTTATTCGGATTAGCCAGGTCAAGGGCCATCAACGAAACCCTAATTGCGAAATTTTGCAAACTCTACATCTGAAGAAGATCGTATGATCTACTCAGCCTTATTAACCCAAAAGAAAGACCAACAGTTCATGTCAGAACACCTAGCGTCAACATTGGCGGGATTAACACTGCTACGAAGACAAGGTCTATTATCAGCCTGTAAATGGAGTGAGAAGTTTACCAAAGCACTATTTAGAGCTCCATGGGCAGCAACGAATATCTTCGCAGGAGAAATTGAGGACGTGGCTAAAGAAGTTACGAGGAATCCAGAGAAGTGATGATGATCAAGTCCATCGATACACTGGCCACCGTTATCAGACAGACATCACAGCGCTACTGTGGCAAATCTAAATTTGCAGGGATACAGAGAGCTAGAGACAAGAAATATGGCACTTGCAAGGGATATAAGGATTCTTTTTGTCGCCCCACCGGAGCTCCTAGAGGTAACCCCGGAAGAGGCAGAGGATTCAGAGGTGCCAGGAACTTTAGACGTTGATGGACAGGGTTGGAACGACTGGAGTCTTCCACCCCCAGCCGTTCCCATACAACCCTCACCAGTGGGTGGACGCCTGCAACTTTACTGGAAGAATTGGGGAATTCTACAAGACGATTATGTATCACAGATACTACACAGAGGTTACAGGATAGAACTGCAAGCGGTTCCACCTTTAACAAGCACTCCTCAGATGTACAACTGTGCTACCGATCAGAAGGAGAAACTACTCAAAGCCATTACGACTCTACTCAACCAGAAGGCAATCGAAGAAATACAAATCGTCACACCAGGTTTCTACTCCCCGATTTTTCTGGTCCCAAAGAAAAACTCCAAGGAAAAGTTCCGACTGATTTACAACATGAAAAAGTTAAACCAGGATTATCTAAGAAAGCGCGCAAGATTCAAAATGGTTCATCTTCCACAACTCAGACAGATTATCTGTCCGTCAGATTATCTAGCCAGCATAGATCTACAGGATGCGTATCTTCACATCCCAATACATCAGGACTCAAGGAAGTACCTACGATTCCTGTTCAAAGGATGTCACTACCAGTGGAGGGTACTACCGTTTGGAATATCGTCAGCCCCCTGGTTGTTTACTTGAGTGACAAAGCCCATCGTCAGTTACCTACCTACAAGGTCTACGCAGTGCGTTTTACCTCGATGACGGGATTCAAGCTCATCAAGATCCCAATCTACTCAGACGGCAACTGACGTTAACAATCAAGCTACTCACTCAACTAGGATGGTTAGTAAATCATCTCAAATCGGAATTAGAGCCTACACATGATCTACAATTCCTAGGAATACGAACCGTCACTTCAACGAATCGTCTATTAATCCCGGAGGACCGTTGGATCAAGATACAACAGATGATATCGCAAACACTACTCTCTCCGTTACCACTACGAGAGTGGCAGAGTCTCCTCGGTCTCCTCACGTCAACGCAAGATATGACACGCAGAGGCAGATTACTGTTGCGCTCACTACAAGTGTTTGTCAACGATCATCTAGACAGTCTGGATCCATTCGTCCTACTGAACGAGCTGAAACCATACCTATTATGGTGGACACAGAAGTCGAATGTCTGCGCAGGAACCTACTTAGCAGAGCCGGGATCCAACACACATCTCTACGCAGATGCGTCCCACTAAGGGTGGGGAGCTCACTTAAACAACAAAGTGGCATCGGGAAAGTGGTCGAATCAGGAGCAGAAGTTACACATCAACATGCTAGAGTTGAAAGCAGTCATAAATGCCTTACTACACTGGTCCAGCATACTAAGGAATGCTCAACTGATGATCCATACGGACAACTCCACAGTGGGGTTCTACATCAACAAACAAGGGTCAACAAGGTCAAGAAGCATGTTGGACCTCAGCTTTCAATTATTCAGCATAGTAGACAACCTGAACATCGACATAAAAGCGTCACACATTCCCGGAGCCCGAAATGTGATAGCAGACGCCCTATCCCGTCCTATGAATCCGTCACCGACGGAATGGATGCTACACCCAGAGGCATTCAAGGACATCATTCGGACAATAGGATCCCCACTGGTAGATTTGTTCGCAACCAAGTTCAACAAACAACTACCAACATTTGTCTCTCCGGTCCCAGATCCTCAAGCATGGGCAATGGACGCCTTGAGCATATCGTGGGAAGGACTAAACGCATATGCGTTCCCTCCACCCGCACAAAAACCGAAGGTATTACAGAAAATCAAAATGACGAACAAGTTACAACTGATTTTGGTCGCGCCTTACTGGCCAGCGAGAGAGTGGTTCCCCAACCTCATACAAGATATAGGAAATCCAATCCTACAACTTCCAAAGTGGCCAAATCTACTGATTCAACCACACACCAAGCAAGCACACAGAAACCCAACTATGTTTCAACTACATGCATGGAGCTAATCACGATGTGCTTGGGGAAAAGAGGATATTCCACCAGAGCAGCCATAGCAGTAACTTTAGCCTTACGCAGATCAACCCGTAACTTGTGCATCTGGGACTAAGATGGGATTTTATAGCAAAGAATCAACTGCCCGGTCAACCAGACAGACAATTCCTTACCCCGTCACTTTCGTCGATATTAGGACCACAGGATACGCAAGACCGATCCTTATGTCTAGTCAGAGCATTGAAAATATATCTACAGAGGTCTAAATTGAGGAGACGAAAATTCAAGCGCCTTTTCATCCCTCTATCTACGGAGACACCTACAGAAGTCTCACGTACAACCATATCAATATGGATGAGAGCCGTCATATTGAGAGCCTATAAAGCAGCAGGACTTGATCCTCCACGAGCCTCCAATCCTCATGAAGTCAGAGCACTGGCATCCACGCTAGCTCTGCACGGAAACTGCTCCATATCAATAATAATGGAGGGCTGCTTCTGGAGGTCGGAGACGGTGTTTGCCAACCACTACCTCAGAGACATGGCTACAGAGGACGTCTCCGGCATACACCAGTTTGGGCCGCTTGTTGTAGCACAACAATTGACTGTACCTCAAAGGCGCTGAGATACATCTCACCCTTTTGTCACGTGACTTGTAAAAGCCAACACTCATCAGAGTACGGTTTTAGAGTCCATGCGCACGTCTAAGACAGGCTAGCATGAGTGATAGACCCGGTACTTACTTGTACACGAAGTAGGGTCACTTCTCCACTTGATGCATGCATCAAGAGATGGAGTCGTATTAAATCCACACAAAATGTCAGGAGAAGATTTCCAGGATAAATCTGACAAGCTGTGGTCCCCCACATTCATCAGAGGAAGCTGGAAGAAAAGACAAATGCCATTAGAAGTTCCCAAGGGGGTATAAGGACGTAAATCAGCAGAGAATCGAGAGTGGCTTGACCCACCACCATTTCCGTCGGATTCTACAAGCAATTAAGCATGAGTCAGGATAAGGAAAAATATGTAATTTTCTGACTAAAATTGATATTTTATACTTATCCTGACTCATGAGGTTAGCCCTCCCAACCTCCCCTCATGGCACTCTGGATTTCCCTGCAAATCCAAGTGTCAGGGCTCGAAATAACGGAGAGAGTGAACAAGCATGGCCGATCATGTGACCTTTTCGCGCCAAAAGATGGTTTCAAGGGAGGCAATTGGGGTGAGTGATTTTACGTCCACTTTTTTGAAGGGAGCTTCAAAAGGGGATTCAAGTGTTCCACTATAGTTCGCAAGAAGAAGAAGACAAGCAATTAAGCATGAGTCAGGATAAGTATATAATATCAATTTTAGTCAGAAAATTACATTATTTCAGTCAATCAATTATAACAATAATCAGAAAATGACAAACATGATCTTTCCTGATCCAACAATTGTCTCTCTTTGTTTGCTGGTGTATCCAGCCAAGCCATTGCGAGACATTTATATTGGTGTCAGATTCTAACTACAGGTCTATCTTTACCACAAGACATTGCAGATGGTGAAGTTTCACGATGGAGTCTGCCATCTCTGCAAGACATCACTTATAGGAGAACAGTTCAGCTTCTTCACATATATGCTTTGATACGCTGTATGCTGTTCAAGGCTTGATATCCCAGCATTTTATGTCAAAATTGCTATATATCTGAGAAAATGTCTTAGAAGGTATTTCCCTTGTGTCAAAATTGCTATATGTTGGAGAAAATGTCTTGGAAGGTATTTCCCTTGTGTCAAAATTGCTATATATCGGAGAAAATGTCTTGGAAGGTATTTCCCTTGTGTCAAAATTGTTATATGTTGGAGAAAATGTCTTGGAAGGTATTTCCCTTGTGTCAAAATTGCTATATATCGGAGAAAATGTCTTGGAAGTTATTTCTGTTTTGTCAAAATTGCTCTATGTTGGAGAAAATGTCTTGGAAGTTATTTCTGTTGTGTCAAAATTGCTATATATCGGAGAAAATGTCTTGGAAGTTATTTCTGTTGTGTCAAAATTGCTATATATCGGAGAAAATGTCTTGGAAGGTATTTCCCTTGTGTCAAAATTGCTCTATGTTGGAGAAAATGTCTTGGAAGTTATTTCTGTTGTGTCAAAATTGCTATATATCGGAGAAAATGTCTTGGAAGGTATTTCCGTTGTGTCAACATTGCTATAATTTTGAGAAAAAGTCTTGGAAGGTATTTCCCTTGTGTCAACATTGTTTTTCCAGCACCTGAACAACAACTGTTTCTAAACACCACCACCTCAAGCTATAGAGTACGTATGGTCATTCTGATGGTTCATAATCCTTGGCTACCTTATGAAAAGGCTTCCACATAATTTTCTCAGGAGTGCAATCTGTTCGAAACATCCCAAGTACTAGTCTACAGACCAAGGGCAGTTAGGACATCTGATTTACAATAAAGAAGTTGACATCCATAAATCTTGCCTTGATAAAAGTTGGCAAGTGTGTGGTAGCCAAAATGAGCACATCATAATCTTAAATTGTGCCTTTTAATATTAAAAAAATGTAATTTGATATTGTTTAAGACCACCCAAACAAATTGCCTAACGTCTAAATGACAACAATTATTTGGCAAATACTAGATCCAGCTCTAAAACAGTGAATCTAAGCCTGATAAGCTTTTTAACTTGATTTATATCAAAGTACATTTTTAATGGATACAAGTTACATTTTCGCCAAAGAACTGAAAGGGAATAATAATTTACATTCAATGTGCAATAACCTGTCTAGGGACTAGTATTGGGACTATTCGTATCTTTTCCTTTTCTCTGCTGGTGGCTGCCGTTTTCTGTGCAGCCATTGTTTTGTGCGCTGTGTCAACAGGAAGTGTTCAAGTAGTTTGGCTCAATCAGGAATTTAACAATAATTAACCAGATGTTGTTGGAAGCAAAGGTCTTCTTCCACATGACCCTGAAGGAATGTTTTGGCATTTGTCATGAAGAAACCAAAGGTCAAAGACAGAAAAACCCACCTCACCTCACAAAACAGATTGCAATTATGCTTTCTCCTTATGCATTCTAAATTCATTTCAGGGGTATTATAAGCATGGATGAAGGTGAGGAGATGGTGCATCAAGTGAACACAAAGCGCCAGGGAACCTGGGCTGATAGTGATGTGGAAAAGTCTCTCAAGAGCATCCTTAACTTCTGCAGACATCATGGTGGTTTGTATAAACAGTATATGTCCATAAAAGCATTTAAATTAAGGGCTATGGAAAATGATTAATTATATGAAATTTTCATGTTGCACCTGTCACAGAAACATACACTTGTGACAGAAAGTGTGAAAAGTATGTCAACATTTTATAATATTGACCCTGGACTTCAAACCTGCTGCTGCAAGACATCCTATCAACATTTGTTGTGATGCACTCATCATACCAGTGAGCTGATTCAACTTTTCTGTTTGGGCTATGCAATTGTGTGGGTACTGACAACACACTCCAGAGAGTATCCAGCCACTAACATGGCATATTGTGCAGCATACTGATTTAATTATGTAAACATTACAAGTGTTGATTTTCATGAAATACCAAAGAACTAAACAGAAAAAGGCATGGCTTGATTAGGCCTCAAATGATGAAGTAGAAACTATATATGATTGTTCCCACCAGTGATGATACCCTTACTATAAGAGGCCTGACTCATATTTTCAATATGGCTGCCACATCATTAATGGCCTTTACTCAGGTTTTTTATTCATAAGGTTCCTAAATTTGGTACATATATAGGTAGCAGTGTTTCAGAAGTGATTAAGACAATAACTAATGAGTGATGGGGAATGATAGATTATGTTTCCCGAGTTATATTAAGTATGTAATTCTCAAGCCTTGGCGAGTTTGATTGGCTGTGTATTTTCTGAAACAGCCAATCAACGTTCACCAAAAGGTGTAACCTCCCTAGGGACTTACAGGAACATATACTACCCTGTGTCCTCCTTCCCATATGGGTAATAAAAGATCTGTATTTCAGGATGTACATTTCGACTTTGATTTCACCTATGAGGATTGACTGGGCCCATTGAAGTACATATTGAAAAACTGATGTAGAAACTGTATGAATCTGTGTAGGTCCAGTCATATTTATTTAAAATCAACTATATTTTGTTAGTTTGTCATCCTCAGTGTTTATGCAGTAAATATTTGATTAAAGATACTTGCAGCAACTTTGTTCCTGACATTTTAAACTGTTGAATACAGGTGAGGTATATAGAGAATACTACACGAGGTCTCATTACATACGAATTATACGAAACGAGTGTCCTTCCTATGGTATCTGACGATATCATAGGAAGGTCACGAGATTCGTATAATTTGTATGTAATGAGACCGAGTGTGGTATTTTATTTATTACCCACGTCTTACATGCATTAAATTGACAAAATAGCGTATTTTTGATTTGTTTTTGGTTTTAAACCGAAACCGGTTTCATAAAGAGGTTGCGGAAGAGTTAAGTACTGTAGTGGAATATTTGCATGACGTCACACTGTAATGAAGTCACTGCCTCGGTAACCGACGTCACGATGCATGTCAGTTGTCATCGCCTCGTACAGCCTCTTACAGTAAACTACTCCGTAGCACCTCGTTTCTTGGTTTCCAGTTGCTTCATTCGGCTAACATCACTGGTGGAAACATTGCGTTAATGTTTTTCGACGGATATAATGTCTCAGTTCGACTCACAAGTAAACAGCGACACGGCAACGTTCGCAATGTTTACATTCCCACAATGCATTTCAGTTGAAGAATGAATGAATTCACGTGCTTGTTATGAATGAAAAAATAGTTACGTCAGAATGTGACCTAATTGAGAGGTCATCGGTTATCCAATCAAATCGTTAGAATCTCAGGTCAAGGCGTTACGACACGGGTCAACGCGATACGACACTCGTGTGACTTACGAGATTAGTATGCAACTACCAATACGTTGACCTCGTGGGTAATAAAGTGCGGGTGAGGTGAGGTATAGTGCTCTGGCACTGTATGTTGTGTATTTATAGGTATCAGTGTTGACTACAGGTGATTTATAGTGCTCTGGCACTGTTTGTTGTGTATTTATAGGTATCAGTGTTGACTACAGGTGAGGTATAGTTCTCTGGCACTGTTTGACATGTATTTATAGGTATCAGTGTTGACTACAGGTGAGGTAAAGTGCTGTGGCACTGTTTATTGTGTATTTATAGGTAGTAGTGTTGACTACAGGTGAGGTATAGTGCTCTGGCACTGTTTGTTGTGTATTTATAGGTATCAGTGTTGACTACAGGTGAGGTATAGTGCTCTGGCACTGTTTGTTGTGTATTTATAGGTAGTAGTGTTGACTACAGGCAGGTGAGGTATAGTACTCTGGCACTGTTTGACATGTATTTATAGGTATCAGTGTTGACTACAGGTGAGGTAAAGTGCTGTGGCACTGTTTGTTGTGTATTTATAGGTATCAGTGTTGACTACAGGTGAGGTATAGTGTTCTGGTACTGTTTCTTGTGTATTTATAGGTAGAAGTGTTGACTACAGGTGAGGTATAGTGCTGTGGCACTGTTTGTTGTGTATTTATAGGTATCAGTGTTGACTACAGGTGAGGTAAAGTTCTGTGGCACTGTTTGTTGTGTATTTATAGGTAGTAGTGTTGACTACAGGTGAGGTATAGTGCTCTGGTACTGTTTGTTGTGTATTTATAGGTATCAGTGTTGACTACAGGTGAGGTATAGTTCTGTGGCACTGTTTGTTGTGTATTTATAGGTAGTAGTGTTGACTACATCTGAGGTATAGTGCTCTGGCACTGTTTGTTGTGTATTTATAGGTATCAGTGTTGACTACAGGTGAGGTATAGTTCTCTGGCACTGTTTGACATGTATTTATAGGCATCAGTGTTGACTACAGGTGAGGTAAAGTGCTGTGGCACTGTTTGTTGTGTATTTATAGGTAGTAGTGTTGACTACAGGTGAGGTATAGTGCTCTGGCACTGTTTGTTGTGTATTTATAGGTATCAGTGTTGACTACAGGTGAGGTGAAGTTCTGTGGCACTGTTTGTTGTGTATTTATAGGTAGTAGTGTTGACTACAGGCAGGTGAGGTAAAGTACTCTGGCACTGTTTGTTGTGTATTTATAGGTATCAGTGTTGACTACAGGTGAGGTAAAGTTCTCTGGCACTGTTTGTTGTGTATTTATAGGTAGTAGTGTTGACTACAGGTGAGGTATAGTGCTCTGGTACCGTTTCTTGTGTATTTATAGGTATCAGTGTTGACTACAGGTGAGGTATAGTGCTCTGGCACTGTTTCTTGTGTATTTATAGGTATAAATGTTGACTACAGGTGAGGTATAGTGCTCTGGCACTGTTTGTTGTGTATTTATAGGTAGTAGTGTTGACTACAGGTGAGGTATAGTGCTCTGGCACTGTTTGTTGTGTATTTATAGGTATCAGTGTTGACTACAGGTGAGGTATAGTTCTCTGGCACTGTTTGACATGTATTTATAGGTATCAGTGTTGACTACAGGTGAGGTAAAGTGCTGTGGCACTGTTTGTTGTGTATTTATAGGTAGTAGTGTTGACTACATCTGAGGGTATAGTGCTCTGGCACTGTTTGTTGTGTATTTATAGGTAGAAGTGTTGACTACAGGTGAGGTAAAGTGCTGTGGCACTGTTTATTGTGTATTTATAGGTAGTAGTGTTGACTACAGGCAGGTGAGGTATAGTACTCTGGCACTGTTTGACATGTATTTATAGGTATCAGTGTTGACTACAGGTGAGGTAAAGTGCTGTGGCACTGTTTGTTGTGTATTTATAGGTAGTAGTGTTGACTACAGGTGAGGTATAGTGCTCTGGTACTGTTTGTTGTGTATTTATAGGTATCAGTGTTGACTACAGGTGAGGTAAAGTGCTGTGGCACTGTTTGTTGTGTATTTATAGGTAGTAGTGTTGACTACAGGCAGGTGAGGTATAGTACTCTGGCACTGTTTGTTGTGTATTTATAGGTATCAGTGTTGACTACAGGTGAGGTATAGTGCTGTGGCACTGTTTGTTGTGTATTTATAGGTATCAGTGTTGACTACAGGTGAGGTAAAGTTCTGTGGCACTGTTTGTTGTGTATTTATAGGTAGTAGTGTTGACTACAGGTGAGGTATAGTGCTCTGGTACTGTTTCTTGTGTATTTATAGGTAGAAGTGTTGACTACAGGTGAGGTATAATGCTGTGGCACTGTTTGTTGTGTATTTATAGGTATCAGTGTTGACTACAGGTGAGGTATAGTTCTGTGGCACTGTTTGTTGTGTATTTATAGGTAGTAGTGTTGACTACAGGTGAGGTATAGTGCTGTGGCACTGTTTGTTGTGTATTTATAGGTATCAGTGTTGACTACAGGTGAGGTATAGTTCTCTGGCACTGTTTGACATGTATTTATAGGCATCAGTGTTGACTACAGGTGAGGTAAAGTGCTGTGGCACTGTTTGTTGTGTATTTATAGGTAGTAGTGTTGACTACAGGTGAGGTATAGTGCTGTGGCACTGTTTGTTGTGTATTTATAGGTATCAGTGTTGACTACAGGTGAGGTGAAGTTCTGTGGCACTGTTTGTTGTGTATTTATAGGTAGTAGTGTTGACTACAGGCAGGTGAGGTATAGTACTCTGGCACTGTTTGTTGTGTATTTATAGGTATCAGTGTTGACTACAGGTGAGGTAAAGTTCTCTGGCACTGTTTGTTGTGTATTTATAGGTAGTAGTGTTGACTACAGGTGAGGTATAGTGCTCTGGTACCGTTTCTTGTGTATTTATAGGTATCAGTGTTGACTACAGGTGAGGTATAGTGCTCTGGCACTGTTTCTTGTGTATTTATAGGTATAAATGTTGACTACAGGTGAGGTATAGTGCTCAGGCACTGTTTGTTGTGTATTTATAGGTAGTAGTGTTGACTACAGGTGAGGTATAGTGCTCTGGCACTGTTTGTTGTGTATTTATAGGTATCAGTGTTGACTACAGGTGAGGTATAGTGCTCTGGCACTGTTTGACATGTATTTATAGGTATCAGTGTTGACTACAGGTGAGGTGAAGTTCTGTGGCACTGTTTGTTGTGTATTTATAGGTAGTAGTGTTGACTACAGGCAGGTGAGGTATAGTACTCTGGCACTGTTTGTTGTGTATTTATAGGTATCAGTGTTGACTACAGGTGAGGTAAAGTTCTCTGGCACTGTTTGTTGTGTATTAATAGGTAGTAGTGTTGACTACAGGTGAGGTATAGTGCTCTGGTACCGTTTCTTGTGTATTTATAGGTATCAGTGTTGACTACAGGTGAGGTATAGTGCACTGGCACTGTTTGTTGTGTATTTATAGGTAGAAGTGTTGACTACAGGTTAGGTATAGTGCTCTGGTACTGTTTGTTGTGTATTTATAGGTAGTAGTGTTGACTACACAGGTGAGGTATAGTGCTGTGGCACTGTTTGACATGTGTCTATAGGTATAAGCGTGTTCACTATGCCCAAAATGTTCTTTCCATTTCACACATAGCTTTAGTAATTGGAATTGGAGTTTTAGAATGTACATTTTCTTTACATTTTGCTGAAAGCCTCACAAGTTTAAGACATGACAGTAAATCTAAAACAGTTTATAAAAAACATTTATGAATGTCGTAAATAGTTTCAAGTGTCGGGCATTTTGGCTAGTTGTTATCATCAGTTGTTTGTAGAAAACAACTAAACAGATATGTTGCAATATCATCTCCAGTAGTACGAACCTACAGATTTGACCTTCTGGCCTGTATTTTGCACGGAATATATATTTTTGAATTCAAGTTTTTCACTGTAATGACAACACAAACAATTTAATAGGGTATGTACTATATTACAGTGCCACATCGTCAGAAGAATTTGCTTGAAGCGGGAGCTGCACACATGCGTTACTTGGATGCATTGAAAAAGGAATTTAAGGTATCGTCTTGTAAACCTATACACACCCATCTCACCAACATGGGTGTGTTTTTCATATTCACTAGCCTATGTGTCAAACAGATTTATGGGGATTTTGGCTACACAGTTCAATATTTCTTCAGTAATGTAACCTGAGCTTGGATAGAATCCTCCAGTGATGCAGTGAGAAATCATGTAACAGTAGCATCAATTCAGGAACATCAAGAGGTAACAGACAGTGCCTCACCTCACCTCACCTCACCTCACCTCACCTCACCTCACGGGATACATTTGGATTGTTTTTCCTGTGTCAGCCTCTGAGAGCAGTATGGCTCACCTCACCTCACGGGATACATTTGGATTGTTTTTCCTGTGTCAGCCTCTGAGAGCAGTATGGCTTGCAGCCAGAGAACAAGTGTCAGCAGTAGATGAACTGGACATGGCAACAACCCGACTCCGTGTCCGCCTACAAGATGAACCTCAGCCAGAGCTCCCTCAGCCCAATATAATAGAGAAAGGACAGGTACAACATCATTAAACTTATTTAAGCCTGAAAGTTATGTATGATGATGGCAGTATCGTGGCAATGATTGATGGATCTCATTATGTCTGTGTCTGTATGACATTGAATGCTTGATGTATGACATGTCCATATCCATCATCATCTCAATTATTTTGTTAATAAAAAGGTTTCACATCTCAGACATTGATTTAATCCACATGGTTAAATGTTAGATACTACTGAGCATTTATGCTATATTTATAACGTGCTATATGTTGTCTAGTTTCAAACTAACAGATATCTTCTTCACTCTCAGTTTCAAATGTCTGTCAGTATATATCTATGGTCAGTACAGAATACACTTTCTCAATTCTCCAAGTGATGCGGATTGGGCTGATGGATCATAACACAATGATGACGTGAGAAAACAGCAACCTCAGGGCTCCCCACACATTGACAAACTTTATCTATAAGAATTTCTTTATTGCGCAATGTTTCAATACAGATTCATTGTCAAACAGGAATGTAACATGAAGCAGAGGGGATGTGTATATACAGAATGAAACAAAGAAAACAACAAAATTAATATAACTGACTAGGCAATAACTGATGAAGCTAGTGAATTAACAAATGGAAGTAGTATGTTATACAGTTGACTGGGCTTGATGGAAGAGTGCATCATAAGAAGATTGACATTTTTTCACTTGGGTCTTGATGGGTCGGGATGTTGCGCCTATGTAGCTCTTGTCCACAGTCACAGTTTATTTCACAAATAGCACTATTGGGTTGTTGTTGACGGTTGTGATTTTCTTCCAATTCGCATGGAGAAGGTTGTTGAGGCAGGAGGATGAGAAGGTGGTATCTATATGAGCTTGTTGTTTTAGGAGTCTCCTCATTTGACTTGATGGTTTACCAATGTAGGGAATGGATATCTTGAAATGTTGCACTCACAAAATAAAAGAAGTTGATATATATAACATTTGTCAATATTGTAACTTCTAAATGTCACTCAGAGAAACTGAGTTTATGTTTATTAGCATTCAAGCCAGAGGGTAAGACCAAACAATCAGACTAATATGCAGACCATGTGGTGCAGGTGGGGGTGCATAGAATGAGACTGGTGGGAGACAAGGCTAATGCTGAGGCGGAGCTGAGGAAGAAACTGGGCCAACTGCTGTACCTGACCAACTTGGCAAGGGTGAGGTCCATGTATTATCTCCTACCCCAGTTTGTGAGTGAGTTAGTTTGGTTGAGTATTTATACAGAAGTGTCACTTTCAAGAGTGAGCGAATGGAATATTAAAAAGCCTCTGTTCACATTTTACAATATTCCATGTATTCATAATAATTCATGTACATGTACTATGGAGACAAATGTTAGAGACTTCAAAACAGATAGTCGTTCTTCTGTCCCATATAAATATATATGTATTTTCAATTCTTTTGGGTTACATTGAATGTCACGTTAATTATGTGTCAGCTCAAACTGACTATCAGTGAACCTTGTGTACATAACTTGAGTATTTATGATGGGAATAAGATAACACTAGGGACATGCAAAGCATGTTTCAGATCTCAAGAATATTTGCTTTCATTCATTCAGATTTTTAGATAGTGCACATAATCTGTGAAAAAAACCTTAAGTATGATCAATTATATGTGTTTACTTGTGTTAAATGCCAAGGTCCAGTATTTGCAGTATGCAGACTTCATGTTAAAACGTGGTTAACTGTGAGATTAGTGTATGTAGGAAAAGCTCATTCAAGTAATATAAGTGGCAGTAAGATGTACCAATGACTCACATCACTGTGTTTATATGTATATACTCTTACAGCAACAGGTGTCTTGTGGTGGAAATGTCCCTACCAGATAACTAAGGCAAGTCATGTTATGTGTTTCAGTCTGAGGAAGGGAAGGATGGGAATGGCTCCAACCCAGATCCTTGCCCCATCTGTCAGAAAGCTTTAGGTGTGGAAGTGAGTATTGATATCAAGTGTCGCACAGCAGCCAGGTCAACTTGAGGATAATCAAGTAGAGGCCTACCAAAGAAAACTTTGCCACTGTGCAGAAAAACGCAGAAAAGCCCACATCAATCATGGAAATAGCAACATAAACATAATACCTCGCTACTGAAATAGTAAAAACGGCAACTTTAAATCGCTAAAACTGCATACAAAAACAAAGAGCCTGCAACTTCAATTTTGCACATTAGCACATGGAAGAGGAAGTCTCCACCGCATGTTGACATTTTACAGATTGGACAAAAGTTACATTCCCTTTTTAAGTATTTCTGTTGTGTTATTTGGCATTTATCATCATGATACTTGTGTGCACACTTGTTTAATTTACTTTGAAACGATTGACAGCAATTATTTTAACATATTTAATACTTTTTCTACGCGAGGTGATTCACGGTTGCTCGGAAATTGGAAAGAAGCGCGGATCGTAATGCGCATGAGCAGTAGAGGTCAGAGTTTGCTGACATAAAAATGTTGCAGTTTCAGTCTTTCGTTGCCATTTTTACTGCTTCAGTAGCGAGGTATTATGTTTATGTTGCTATTTCCACGGTTAATGTGGGCTTTTCTGCCTTTTTCTGCACAGTGGGAAAGATTTCTTTGGTAGGCCTGAAGTAGTAACAGGCAAATTTGCTGCAGAGTCCTCCCATGTCATAACAAAACTATGTCTATCCAATATGAAGGCACTCTTTAATGCATAGTATACATAGAAACAAATTGGATTTAGACCTATGGATAGATCCAGAATGTTTTGTTTTATTATGTGCATGAGAAACAATAGGGGTACTGGTGTATATTTCAGTTATATGTACATAACAAGTGATATTAAACACAAAGGAGCAATTTTTGCCGAGAGATATAGTGACTGTACAGGAATTCCAACCTTAGGTTCCATGATGTGTAATGGGTAGCTACAGTAGGTAGACAGATAAGATGACAAACAAATGAAGCAGTGATCTGTACTGATAACAACCCTTTGTATTTGGTGTGCAGTGGAGTGTTCTGCTGTGTGGTCACTGTTATTGCCTGGACTGTATACGGATCATGGCTGACCAGTACAGCTTTGGTGGACGCAACCGTTCGCTCAAGTGTGCCCTGTGTCGCCAGGCAACACATCATTCTGACATCTCTTATGTCAGCACAAGGAAATCTGCTGAGGAAGAAGAAGATACCATGGTGACTGTAAGTGACATACATAGCATTTCTCACACTTTTGTCACAAGCTCATTCCCGGCTTGAAACCTGAAGGTTAATCCAGAAATTGGTACATAGAGAACTAAATTCTGAAATCAGTAAACAACAATATCAGTGATTCAGCAAGATCAATGAAAAGCTAACAAATGTCATTGAAACACACAGGATTTGGTTTACAATCATGGAAATGCCAATATGTGGCAGCAGCAGCAATAATAACAGACCATATACATATGTCAGTGCACTTCCTCTTGTCCAGTATTTGTCTCAGTCCAAGACGTGCCCTCAGACGTGCCCCATTCTTGAATCCAGGAAACTGTGGAACAGGAAAACTAAGTTGGTGCTTTCAGATAGGAATCTGTTCGTACAAGTCTTCCTTGACTCACCCTGATGTGGGTACAGCCAACCTTCTAAAACAGTTTCCTTACAAACGGTTCAGAGGAATGTATACTTTGTCTTAGTGTATCACCGACAGTAGACAGTAAACAAACTTCTCACAGTGATAACTAAGGGAGGTCACTGTAAATTACAAGCTGTCTTTGGGGGTGCCACTGTATAAAATCCTGGCCACAACTACATTTTATGGGCGTATCAGTGTCCTGCCACAAACAACCATCATAAATAACCTTAATCTGTATGCTGCCACTTAACACTATGGCCAGTTGAATAATGATATACAAACTGTACAGGTAAAAGAGCCTGTTAGTTCATGATATAAATACCGATATATCAGTTATGTATTGATATAATTTTTACTTATCCTGACTCATGATTTTTTTGCTTATCTCCCTTTCCCTTTCGAATGAAAGTGGAACACTTGAATCCCTTGAAGTTCCCGAAGCGGACGTGTAAATACACTCACCCACGAGTTACCTCCCTTTTGCCCTTTCCCACGCAAAACAGTCAGGTGAGCTGCCTTACTTGTCACTCTCTCCCTTTTCGCCCAAGCGGATGGTTGGGCGAGAAATGGAGTCCCGTATACGGCATTATATCCTTTTATATTTAGGTCCTATTCTTCAAAATTACGATGTATATGGATTTCACTATAACTACTATGTAGTATTTGGAATTTTTTTTTTGTAGAAATTTAGTACATTTGAGTTGTGTTTTCATCGTCATATAACTTTGTTTACATTTCATGAAATCTTGCAGTGTTTGCAGGCACAGGTTATCTGTGACTGATCCTCACCCCCAGTGCCTTCGTGCATAAAACCATGTTCTTCCAGCTTGTGCTGTACTTATTGTGTTGGTTTATCAAATTTTCAATTTAATCAATATTTGTCTTATATCTAGACGTGCCATGGATCGAGTGAGAAAGTCATCTCAAGTCACGGTTGATAAAACTGGAGATCAGCCTTCAAACCGTATGTTGCTTGCTACTGCTGATGTTCATAATACTGGTGCTATGTTTAGTGCGTTACAGGGGCAGTCTGCTGGTAAGGGGGCCAAGAAGAGATTGTCTACATCGCAGTCGACTCCGTCTCAGGCTAAGAAAAAGATGTCATCCTCTTCTACAATGCAGAAGAAATCATCTGTGACCAGATCGGAGGGCAAATCTACGCGTGCTAGTACATCAACGCAGCAGAAATCCTTCAACGAAGAGATATTACCTCCACACGAATTAGACGTCTTTGATGAACCCCCATTACTTCTCCCGGAAGTATCTATGAGATCAGCGACTCAATCGACCTCTACAACTACACGATCGTCCCCTACAACAGTCACAGCAGGACAGCTGTTTGACGAACTACCTCTTACTTCTCGGAGTGAAGTTTAGGCACAGAACTCATCAGCATTCGCAAACGCTTGGTCTACACCACAGCGGCTCCAACCTATGCAGAACTTTGACCCAGGCGAATTTATGACTCAATTCACTAACCAGATGATGGCCATGATGGAACGTAGGTTCCAGGAGGACGCGAAGGCTAGGAAAAGCCTCTCATGTACCGACACCGTGCGCAAACCTACGGACCTGTGCGAACCTACGGGCCTGTGCGAACCTACTCCTTATAGAACTATGTCTCAAGACTACGTTGGCGAACGTACACCTTTGCAAAGGTCTCCACAGTCAGACGACTCTGTCGTCTTGGAGGATAGAAGAGATGAGATGCCTTCTCTCAATTCTACATATGCGAACCCTCAACGTTCGAGAACATTGAAGGATCCAGCTCCTACACCTAGCCAGCTCTAGGTCGAGATCTCATATCTCTCACAGACGTTCACGAAGTCACTCACCATAAGACAGAGGTAAGACCATAAGACCATAAGACATAAGTTCGCGAAGAGATGTATCTACAGATAGAGGTTCGCGAAGAGAGAATTCCCAGGATAGACGTTCGCATAGGGAGGAATCTTCAGACAGTGGTTCGCGAAAGGAGGTTACAGCATGGATTGCCAACGGGTTGAACTTGGAGTCTCTTTCTAAGGATAAAGATGAAGTCTACACTTATATGATGCGCAACGACGACTTTAACTCGGTGACTATTCCTCCGATTGAACCTATATCCAAGGTACCTTCTAACCTACGCACAGCCTTGAGAAAGCTACAGACATCTACAAAGTTCGAGAACTCTTAGATCTACAGGCAGATAACAGCAACGCAGACATCTACAGGGTTCGCAAACCCTAGGGTTAACAAACCCTTACACCAACAGGCAGGATGTTGACGTCGACTCTATTACCATACGGCTGAATAAAACGAAGCAATGATGAAAACGGATGGTTTTGTCAGAGTTTAAAACTCAACAAAAAGATCTACATGTGCGATCTCGACAGTTACAGTCTGCACAACTCTACAACCTGCACAAACCTTATACCTGTATAGGTACTGTTTCGGACAACAACCTACTTGATGATAGGAATCACTTCATCTACACAGATGCTGAGGTCTTATACCAGGTAGCAGATGGCCTGCGGATATTGTCATTCACTCACTCACTCCAACCCAACAGAGACGTACTGCATATACGCTGATGACTTCGACTCCAATATGATATCACCTATGAAGCCGATATCTCAAGTACTGGAGAACCTCAAGGCGACCTTTGTAAAGGGCTTAAGGTTAACAACGCCTTCAAGTATCCTTGAACAGACGTACAGATATTATTAACACTCGTCACTCAGCGTGGGAATTAGGACTTTATATCCTATCAACTAAATTCAACATCGGTATTTCTTCAAGATCCATACAGACATACGTCTGGACAGCCTCCTTCGTCATGCTGGGAATAAGTGATTTATATCACTGAACAAGAATTTACACTTGGAGCAACCCTTAGTCAAGAGGTTTATATGTGCGGCGTAGAATTACGCGCGGTTTTACTCAACCAACTAATTGCATCAGATTTTATGGAGGCCAACTTGCTACAACACTGGTGACGTCATGCTTGAAGCTGATTGGTCCACGTCAGACAACGCTTCCCACTGACAGAGCAGGCTCCAGCATGTTTTCTGATTTGTAAACAAACCCGTGGTACGGGGGAATACTTCATCGGCAGCCTTGGAAACAGTATACAACTACGGCCTGTCATGGGAATCTAATAGATGCCTAACCTTGACAGCAGGATAAACAATGTTTATTTTGGAAGTTGTCGCTGATAAAAGTTGGTATGAGTACCTGTCCCCTCCGATGCTACACGGGAACCAGCCTTGCTATAAATAGACAACGCTTCGATGTCAACACAGATCGCCTGTGTATATAAGGGGAAAAATGATGTATCATCACTGCAATTAGAGGTTAGCCCTTCCAATGGAACGTCCTACCGTTTGGAATATCGTCGGCTCTATGATTATTCATATGAATAACCAAGCCTATCGTCACCTATCTGCAGCATCGAGGTCTACGCAGTGCCGGTTATCTGGACGACGGCATACAGGTTCTTCAAAGTGCCAATCAACTCAGACAGCAGCTGAACTTCACAATTAAGTTGCTCACGCAACTAGGATGGCTAGTGAACCTGATGAAGATTGGAGTTAGAATCAAACAAGATCTTCAATTACTGGGAATAAGAATTATCACAACACAGAATCGAATTGTGCTCCCAGAAGATCATTGGGTCAAGATACAAGCCATGATTCAACAAGCAGTCATCTCCCCGTTAACACAACGAACATGGCAGTGTCTACTCGGTCTACTAACCTCGGCGCAGGACTTGACTCGCACAGGAAGATTACAACTAAGGCCGCTGCAACGGTTCCTGACAAAACATCTGGACAGCGTCACTCCTATCTTGCTGCCAGACAATCTTAAGAGGTATCTACTGTGGTGGACACACAGGTCGAAACGTTTATGCGGAGGGATCTATTTACAAGAGCCGCCTTCGACACACATCTCTCAAGACGCCTCAATGCAGGGATGGGTTGCGCATCTCAACGATCAAATGGCGTCGGGAAAGTGGTCCAATATAGAACAGCAGCTTCACATCAATCTGCTAAAGATAAAAGCCGTGATCAACGCCTTACAACTATGGTCGAGCTTGCTGAACAACAAAATGCTGATGATCCAGACGGACAACTCTACAGTGCCATTCTCCATAAACTGGCAAGGATCCACAAGGTCTCAAAGCCTATTGCAGCTCACATTCCAGTTGTTCCAGATCACACAGGAAGCAAACATCTGGATAAAGGCGTGTCACATACCCGGAGCCAAGAACATACTGGCAGACGCTCTCTCCCGACCACTGCACCCGTCACCTACAGAATGGATGCTCCATCCAGAAGCGTTTCGGCTCCCCTTAGGGATCCCCTTGCATAGACCTGTTTGCCACGAGGTTCAACAAACAACTAGAGACGTTTGTCTCGCCAGTTCCAGATCCTCAAGCCTGGGCAACAGATGCACTGAGCATGTCGTGGGAAGGACTAAATGCCTACGCATTTCCGCCCCCGATACTACTGCCAAAAGTACTGTTCAAGATCAAACAGACTCAGACGCTACAACTGAATTTCGTTGCGCCCTACTAGCCAGCGAGAGCATGGTTCCCAGACCTAAT